GGGGGGTGGCTGGTATCTCATGGTTGGTATCTACTGTATATGTCCTTTCCTCCCATCTTGGCTACAAACCACATTCTAATCAATGAGGGCAATTGTATTGTGCTCTACTAATTGGTTTACACATCTAGCCTTGGGCTTATGCTACTTGTGCATGTATCGATCTATTGCCATTTAACATTGTAACCTTCCCCCCCCCCTACCTGTACCCTAATATTATTATTAGGAAGTGATGTGTAATTGTTATTCTTTGACCTAGGGGAGAGTCTGTCATCATAGCAGCACTGCCAGAGTATTCAGACAGCTCCAGACAGAATGAAAAGGGTGACACATAAAGGGGGTCCTGGAGCACAGACCTCTGGGAGAGGACCACAGGAAGACTATGGGGGAGTCTCACACAAGCAGGCTCGGACTTCGAGGAGTAAAACACAGTAGGTGAACCTTGAATTATGGAGTTTAAACAGCTGATCATTATATCATCTCATTGATCTGTACTTTGTTCTGTGTATCACTGTTAGAAATACCAGTGACCACTACAGAGCATTGGAAAATACATCAAAATGTTGTTTTTTTTACTAACACAGTCTAGACAGTTCTTGTAAAATTTTGGGCAGTGTGATTGTGGCTCAGAACATTTGGATGGACTACGGGTGGTATTATTGATTTGATAGTATTCTCTTTTATAATGGTAATATTTGGTTTAAATGAATTGTTAGGTTGAGTGTTGGGCTGATGGGTTGGGTTGACTATTTGGGATGAGTGGTTGGGTTAAGAGGTTGGGTTGAGTAGTTGGGTTGAGTGGTTGGGGGAAGCTGGACAATCACATGATCGTTTTCAGTCAATTTTAACCTCTTTCGAACCACTGGGAAACGCAAATAGGGATCACAAGTTATCGCCATAAACAAAGCAATCTACCAATTGCAATATTAATTGACCCGCAAAATGTGGTTGATTGTGAAGTTAAAACTGTTTGAATTAAAATGGGGTTGAAATGGGGAAAACTGTGGCAGTTTCATTGAAAGGGATTGGATTTTTCTGAATTTTGATCCCATCTCCTTGTGCTCCATCGCAGCCTCCATTCTATGTCTTCAACTGCTTTGTGATTTCGACAAAAAGTGGAACTGAAGGTTTGATGGCTCTGTTAAATTGCCACGTACCCTAAATTGCATGCTTTTGGGTAATGGTTAGGCTGGAGTTAAAGTAAATTTGTCATAAAAATTAAGATCTTAACACCCAATTCGTCAGCCTCTGGTGCCTAAACTTACCCTCATCGCCTGTTCCCCTGTGCCACTAATACAAAATTCCAGTCCTTCACCCCTTCCAGTTGTCCTGGTGACCCTGGTCTGCTGGACAGAAGGTGATGAGGAATCCAACATTTCTCAGTTGTCAAAAGGGATGAGCTTTGGGATCAGGCCAACTAGGAGTTCAACATGAACCTAGCTGGTTTGCAGGATGGGTTAATTAAATGGCCAGATTTTAATGTCCGCCCGTGTACCTGATCCTCTGGCTGCTGGAGCCTGAAGTCATTTATTTAATGGCGATATCACTCCTGTCAATAAATCATAGCTTCCCGTCTGCTGGCTTGTGTCTCATTGTCAACCAACCGGCAGGGATCCCAGGTAAAGTCATTGACCGAACATGGTTGTGGTCAATGACATGACATGACAGATTTCTAAATAGTACTACAGATCCTAAACGTGTCTCTCTGGCCAAAATGACTTGTGCTTAGTGGCTGAATATTTGAATATATGAAGGATTTGCTTACAGTGAATTAGCAGTCGAATATTTTTCAATTGCTGCCTGTGTGTAGTTTCCCTTCACTTCCTGTCCAGGTGACCCAGATGGCAATGTGAATCTTATTACTATATTCTATCTAAATAATAGGTTACTTTATAATCTTCCTTTGTTCAGTCAAAAAAGCAAAAGTATGTCCATGAAGAATGATAGGTAAGCTGCTATAAGTCACCTTCTTCTGGCTGTATCCAGCTTCAATAGTTTGAATCACTGACCCAGAACAAGCATGCAGCAAGTGAAATGAGAATGAAGATAGTCATGGTCTGGAGAGTAATACATAGCTGAGGGCTTCATCCTTGACCTCATGTGACAGTCACTATGCACTAGTGATGTGCATAGGCTTGGTGTGAACTAAGATCCCAAGGCCCTGCAAAACTGTCAGTGACCCGCACCCCTCCCAGCCCAATCAGTTGCGGCAGGGCATTTCACTCCCCCTTGTTATTTGTAGCAGTGGGATGGGCAACATCCTTGCCGCAGCTGATTGTGTAAGACTATACCTGGTCTTTTGGGTTCTTCTGCACATGTGCATGGGCCTGTCTTTCACAATTCCCCGGAAACATACGCTAATGAGCATGCGCACGGAACGGAACAAAGATGCGCTAACGCTAGGCACAGGATATGATGCAACTCCCCTTGACAGGTGGCTCTATTTAAACCTGCCTGTTCTGTGGATCATTGCTGAATGGTCTTTCACCTTGTGTGTGTGTTCCTCTGATTCTGCCTGTTCTGCTGCCTTGACCCGGATCTCCTTTGACTACGCCTGACTGCTGCCTGCCCCTGACCTCTGCATGATCCTGGACTATTCTTCTGCCTGTTGCTCTTGCTGCCGATTGGTGTTGACCCTGGCCTACCTGACTTCGTCCTGCTCCTGCAGTGTTCCTCGCTGTCCTTGCGGCTGCATTCTTGCCTGCTGCCTGCTTCCGGCATCCGTGGAGACCAGCTTCTGGACTTACCCAGGCACAGTGCCCTACACTCTCTGTCCTCTCACTCCCTGTCTCCACTCTCAGGGGTGTGGGACAAGATTTGCAAAGGAGGCCTCCTCAACTACTCGGTCCTCTACCAGGTGCGTGATAGATTGGGCCAGAGGGGATGGGCGTTTTGCATGGGCTTGGGTGACCTTGGTTCACCAGACATATCACAACTAAGCACCAGGGCTGACCAATGAGTGCTCGCCATTTGCAAGCGAAATTTAAAATCCAAAGGGCAGGGCTGTGCTACACGGAAGTACGGGGTACACATAGTACACCCATACCAGTGGAGGCGAAGGATCGTTCGCCTAAAGGTATGTATAGCAGGGGGGAGAGAGGGACAGATTGGAGGGGGTAATTCCAATTTCCCAAATTCACCTGGGAAAGCCTATGAGCGCAGTGGATAGCCAAGAACCGAAGGCTGGTCCTAGTTTACCATGGGGAACAATAGTAAACCAGAGGAGGTTTCTAACCCATCCAATCAATTGCTCCTGCTTACAGCTGGCCAACCAACTCTGTTGGGACCCCCCATAGACAAGAGATCAAAGTCAAATTTATGTGAATGTTCAATTAACTGTTCCCCTACTAACCTAAATATCATTCTGTATATTACATTTATAGGTATTTTTTTCTCAGTTCTCATGATAAATGTTTCTTCTTTTCTTCCAGCCAATCAAAATGGTTGTTCTTCCTGAAAACATTTGGCGCGGCCCTTGTGGTCATTTACATATGTGTCCCTTTCATAATCAGGCTCTTCCCGGCAATATTAGGCAAAGTTGTGTATTTAAACATGGGTGAGTAGTGGATATGAGAATTGTCTCAATCCAACAGCTGGCCGTGGCCATGTTCGGGTCCCCTCGGGCTCTGCTCCTCCCACGTTATTGAACTTTTTTCTTTTTTTCTAGTAAAATTTCCTTTCTTCGTCGACTTGAAGAATCCTGGAGAACTCTTGAACCACACCGCAAATTTTTACCTGACGTCTGAAGAAGGGGTGAACATCGGAGTCTGGTGAGTGGTCGGACATGGCTGAGATGTGAGATGTGAAATGTGACAGAAAGCTGGACTCCAGGCGGATACTGAAATACACAATTTAGTCCAGTTATGAATCATTTTTATTTTTATTTATAAACAGTATAAACGCCTGATGTTTTCTTTATGTTAGGTGTCCTGAACTCAGAATGAAGGTGGAGAAGGGGCAGCTCTCTGCACCAATCAGGGTTCTCCTCCATTTCGCAGTGCTGTCCGTCTAACATTGTGAACATGCTTACAGGAGGGTAGAGCACAGGGTTGACCTTATAAGTAGGGATGCAACGATACCGTTTTTTCGGTATTGTGTACAAGTACCGATATTTTTTTTTCGCTACTCGCCAATACCGATACTGGAAGTCCTATTAAGGAAGCTGAGCGGCATGTAATTACTCGCTGCCCAGCTTCCTGATTAGCCGGGAAGCCGACTCCATTCTCCCTCGTCACCAGGTGACGAGAAAGCATAAAGCCGTCTTTCTGGCCAATCAGAAAGCCCGGAGGCGGGTAATGACTCGCCGCTCAGCTTCTTGATTGGCCAGCTTCCCGATCCATCCGGAAGCCGGGTGGCGAGTCATCCTATACTGCGTATAGGAAGTGATGACTCAGGGACTTTAGACCGCTGCAGTGGAGGGGAGCGGGGCTGGAAGGATTGACCCAAGAAAAAGCCGGCTCGGAGGTTCAGATGAGTATAACTTTTTTTTTTTTTTAATACCTGAATGAGCAGTTAACCCTTGCAGTGTGGGGTAGCCCCATTGCAAGGGTTAATAAACATTTTGCCTGGAGTTCTTCTTCTTTAAAATAAAACAAGGCAGCCAAACTTTACTGATCAATCCAAGTAGAAAACAGTACAGATTGTTCTAGGCCCAGGCCTAGGGAGCCTCAAAATATAACCCGACAGTCTGAGAATTCCTGTGTCCCTCAATGGATGATAAAGAAATTATTATTATTATTATAAAGGATTTACATAGCGCCAACAGTTTGTGCAGCGCTTTACAATGTAATAAAGAAATGTAAGAAATTGCTCTTTTCATTTGTTACTGTTGTGTCACGATCTGGGATCAGGCTCAGAGTCCAGCAGCTGAAGCAGCAGGCAATTCGTTGTGTAACAGGCTGGGTTTGGTACACAAGCAGACGGTAGTAGTGGAGGAGCAGGCAGAAGCGTAGACAGTGAACAAGCCGAGGTCAGGAGCCAAAGGTATCAGGTATGTAGCAGAAGACGGTGAGAGTAGTCGGTGAATCAGCAGCCAAAGGTCAGTACACGGGTAGCAGTATGAGCAGATTGTAGCACAGAGAGAGCAGGAAGCAAACTAATGGCAGGAGCACAATAATCTGGCAAAGAGGAAGTGCAGAGGCGTGGCTTAAATAGGAAGTTCAAGGAAGGAGTTCAGCAGACACTAGGTTTAACTGAGGATTACACAGGAGATCAGGCAAGGTGCTATCCAAGGTTCTAAGGTGGCTCAGCAGGGAGAACCACAGCAGAGGCCCTGGGTTCAGATCCGGTTCCTGACGTGTTGTAGGATTTGTCTCTGTATATTTCTCTGACTTGTCTCGTAGAACTGATTGGGAATCCTCGTACTTCTACTGAAGGAGGAATCGGGTTGAATTAATTGTCTTTAAACAATGAAATTCTTTTCTATGAATCTATTTCCAGGAAACAAATATTTGTATCATTATAAGACATCATCTTGATGGGGGTTAATTAGCAGGACTCGGTTTCTGAGCACTACGGGTGTCTTCATGGACGATTTCCCTTAATGATATTTTCTTTTATTGCGGTGGGTTTATCGCGATGAGGAAGAGGAGACGCACGTCTGTTGTACTCATCTGATGCATATTAATCACGAAGATTTGTTCTCCTAGGCATACCGTGCCTGCCAGCAGGGGGGAAGAGGCGAGAGGGAAGGACCGCCGCTGGTTTGAAGACTCTCTCGCAGATGACAACCCAATTATCATTTATCTCCATGGCAATGGGGGAACCAGGTGATTACAGGCTGATCTGGCATAACCGGAGACCGCCATCGCTGTATTACTTGTTTTTCACATATAGGGCCGCGGTCTGGGTTGGAATTTTAAGGGAGAGTCCAGGTCTGTGCATTCTGTCCTTTATATTCGCCTTTTATCAATGAGACCAGGTTCATCTCCATCAGGGGTGCATGTGACCGGGGGACAGCGCAGGAGCACAATTAAGAGACAGGAACAAAGCGTTGTCACCCTATAACCGGAAATGCCTGAACAAGGATCTTCCCGTCATGATTACCAGGGATTATTGTAATGAAAGCTGCAGATTCCAAAAAAGATTAAAAATGAATCTCCCCTGGATCCACTGGTACTTACCTCGCCAGCACTTTCCTGCCGCTCCTTCCTCTGTAGCAGTTGATGACAATATGGATATATCACCGATTCCTGTAGCGTTGCACACCAGACAACAATGGGAAATGACAGAGTGGGGGATGTGGCAAGATGAGTATCAGTGGAGGTCGGATGCCCGCTTTGCAGACACTGTCTCTTAACGGTGAACTCTGTGCACAAAAACTTTTAATGAAACATAATCCTCAATATCCGCAAAGTATATAAATCCATTTTGTGTGCACCAATAATTTTTGCATGCTTTACTGTGTTTTGTATATAGCCTGTGCAGAGAGCAGAGCTGCAGGAGAGACCCAGCAGGCTCCACCCACTACAGGTTGCCTGCAGAAAACTACAGGAGGGGGCGGAGACAAGACCAGTCACCATGCACAAGGAGAGAGCAGCAGTGAGCGGTCTCTAGAGAGAGCAGCAGTGAGTGGCCTTTATTACAAGAGGGGGTGAAGACAAGACCAGTCACCCTGCACAAGGAGAGAGAGCAGCAGTGAGCGGTCTTTATTAGAGGAGGGGGCAGAGACAAGACCAGTCACCCTGCACAAGAAGAGAGAGCAGCAGTGAGCGGTCTTTAGAGAGAGCAGCAGTGAGTGGCCTTTATTACAGGAAGGGGCGGAGACAAGACCAGTCATCCTGCACAAGAAGAGAGAGCAGCAGTGAGCGGTCTTTAGAGAGAACAGCAGTGAGTGGCCTTTATTACAGAAGGGGGCGGAGACAAGACCAGTCACCCTGCACAAGGAGAGAGAGCAGCAGTGAGCGGTCTCTATTACATGAGGGGGTGGAGACAAGACCAGTCACCCTGCACAAGGAGAGAGCAGCAGTGAGTGGCCTTTATTACAGGTGGGGGCGGAGACAAAACCAGTCACCCTGCACAAGGAGAGAGAGCAGCAGTGAGCGGTCTTTGTTAGAGGAGGGGGCGGAGACAGGACCAGTCACCCTGCACAAGAAGAGAGAGCAGCAGTGAGTGCTCTTTATAACAAGAGGGGGGGAAGACAAGACCAGTCACCAGGCAGAAGGAGAGAGCAGCAGTGACCGGTCTTTATTACAGAAGGGACAGAGACAAGACCAGTCACCCTGCACAAGGAGAGAACAGTAACAAGTCTGTATTATATGAGGGGATGGAGACAAGACCAGTCACCCTGCACAAGTAGAGAGAGCAGAAGTGAGCAGTCTTAAAAACAGGAAGCTCCGAGTTTCACACGGGATTACTGCTCAGATCTGGAAGTAAAACACAAAGCTCACCAAGATTCAAGAAGAATACACATGACTCTTGCATAAGGACTGGGGACAATGTCTCTTTCAAGGTTTAACTACAGCAATTTCTTTTTGGGATAGACTGGTGAAGAGTTACATTTTCTGTCTGTTTTTTATTTCCATGTGGAGATTTTCCTTCACTTCCTGCAGCCGTGACACGCATAGAAATGTATGGGGTGGTTACCAATGGGACAGGAAGGCTACAATATCAAATAAAAACATACCGTGTTTCCCCGAAAATAAGACACTGTCTTATATTTTCTTTGCCCCCCAAAAACACACTAGGTCTTATTTTCAGGGGATGTCTTATTTTTTTTTCTTTTTTACTGTGCAACAAAATGTACAACAATCTAAAGTTATGTGGTATCACTCCACCTGTCACAGTAACTGGCGCTCTAGAGGAATATCGGCTAATGCGGCTCTGCTCCCTCCGCCGCCGAAGCCTTGCTTTATGCAGCGCTGGCATGCTTTGCCATCAGCAACAGTGGTGCAGCAATGGGGACATCAGACAGTGGATAGCGCGGTAAAGAACAGTACCATTTACCGTTACACATACAGTACAGTACCATTACATTAAGCAGTGCCTTCAGGGGGACAGCAGTTGGTGGAGTATGGTACTGGAGTGCTCCCCGTCACTGCGCTGGCCGGAGGGAGTCCCCCGTCATCTGCTTAATACAACATGTCCCTGCAGGCTGATACCATCTCTCCTGCGCTTCAAGTTCCCCCTCACATGCTACCACCAAACTAGGTCTTATTTTCGGGGTAGGTCTTATATTACAGGAATCTTGAAAAATAGTGCTAGGTCTTACTTTCAGGGTAGGTCTTATTTTCGGGGAAACAGGGTAGCTGACGAGTTTAACTCTTCCCCGGTCTACTGAAAATGTGTTTTTATTGGTGTTCCCCTTAAAGAGATTTCCAACTTATTCTAAAATGTTCTTAGGTGTGTCATGTGACCGTACCTTTAATGTCACTTAGATCAAATGTGTGAAATGTAAAGTTCGAATTGTATTTTTCATGTCCACACAGACCTCATCTTCTTTTTCTATCTTCCTCCAGGGCCATGGATCACAGAGTACAACTGATGAAGGTGAATATTATTCTTCACGTCTGTGCTGGGAATTGTTGTCAATAAATGAATGGTAATTCAGAAGATGTCTCCAGGATAAAAATGAACAGCCCGTTTAAAGATTAAAAATGACTTTTAAAATTAAAGCAGTCCTGGCACCTTGGCGACAAGGTCCACTTAATAAAGTATTGCACTTGCCCCCCCTTCCTAAAAAGCTGGAGGGGAGTATATTATCTAACTACACCCAACCCCTCTGTCGCAGTAGAAGTAGAACTAAAGTCAAAACTTTTTTTTAGCTAAGTTACACCACTTTAGTTACAACCCCTGTTAGCAAAAGAATTTGCCATCTGTGTCTCATTGGGGAGATTTCCCTTCACTTCCTGTCCGATAGCCACAACAGGAAGTGAAAGGAAATCCCTCCAAAGAGAGGGATATCCCCGGTGGTCACCAGAATCCCATCAGAAGATTTCCCATCTATTTCTGTTCTGGTGACCACCCAAAATTTGGGCTTTTATTTTATTTTCAGGGATAACGGGCACCAGGACAAATAGAAGGGGCGAATCTCCCTAACAGGGACACAGACAGTGATGGCTTCAGTGCACTATAAGGCGGCTTAAGGAAGGGGGAGTGGTGACATTGAATGAACGGACAGCTGATATGAGATGTATTAGATGAGATTTCTTATATGAGATTTCTTATATGAGATTTATTATATTGACATTGTTATATGAGATTTATTATATGAGATTTATTATATGAGATTTCTTATATAAGATTTATTATATGAGATTTATTATATAAGATTTATTATATGAGATTTATTATATGAGATTTATTGAAAATCAGAAAAACCTATAAAGTATATAAATGAATGATCAGAGATTCATTATTTTCCTCTTGTTACAATGTTATTTGTCATCCTGTGGTGGAATCTCTCGCAGGTTCTCAGTAAAGCCGGCTTCCATGTCTTGGCGCTCGACTACCGAGGTCTGTGACCCCCAAAACCCCATTTGTGTCCGGGTGATGATATCTGCGTGTCCTCACTATTCCTGTTATTTTTTAAAGGTTTTGCTGACTCCACCGGTGAGCCGAGCGAGGCTGGAGTGACCCAAGATTCCGTCTTTTTATATGAATGGGTGAAAGCCCGCAGCCATGGAAATCCGGTCTGCCTCTGGGGGCATTCTCTGGGTACCGGGTAGGTTCTGGGTACGGGGCTGATGTTTAATTGTATTAGTGAGCTTCATCCTTTGTCTGGAAGCATAAAGGGTAAATATATTACTCATTAGCCACAAAATATTAATATTTTCCCGTATTTTCTTTTTCTTTTGTAATCTCACATTGTTTATCCAAATGAAGAAATAAGTTTGATATATATCTATATACAGGAAACACACACATATATATTACATTTACTTGTTCCTTTTTTATATTGACAGTATTGCCACTAATGCAGCCAGGAAATTGCAAGAAAAAGGTGAGTAATGTTGTAGAATAAATAATACTAATAAAGTACGTTATGAAAAATCAGCCAGATTGCAGATCACACGAGAAAAGAACTTCCTTTTTCACTTGTTCAAATGGCAGTTTCACATTTTAAGAGAACCTGTCATGCAAGTCAAACTTTTAAAAAGTGTTAATGATTTGTGATTTGTCCTCATGAAGGGAATCCAGCTGACGCTGTGATCTTGGAGGGCCCGTATACCAACATCCGGGCTGCTGGAGCTTATCACCCTTTCGTAAAGGTCTGTAGCAGATGCATACAACTAGAAAATAAAACTTATAAACACTTTAAAGCCAAAAGTATGTGAACATCCCTCCAAATGATTGAGCTCAGGTGTCTCCGTTGAAGGGGGGTTGTTATTCCTACCTCATACAAGACTTTGTAGACAGTTCTGCTCCTCCAACCTTGTGGTAACAGCTTAGTGAAGACCCTTTTCTGTTCCACCATGACTGTCCCCTGTGTATAAAGCCAGCTCTATAAAGACATGGTTTGATGAGTATGGTGTGGGGGAACAAGAGTCTCCTACAAAGAGCCCTGACCTCAACCCTACTGAGCACCTTTGGAATGAATTGGAATGTTGATTGCCAACCAGATCTTCTCATCCAAAATCAGTAGCTGACCTCACAAATGCTCTTTTGGCTCCAAAATCTTCCCAGGAGAGCGGAGGCTGGTATAGATACAAAGGTTAAGTTGGGGGCATCATATTAATGCCATTGGTTCAGCAATAAGATGTCCAACAAGATCATATAGCTGTAATGGCCATGTGTCTACAAACGTACAGCCATATATTGTACTGTGTCCATATTAACCCTGTGTATGAGTTGAGTCAAGCGACTGTATATTGGCACTGGCATCTTGGAAGTGTATGGCAGGGTCAGAACCTCCTGCAAAGAGTCTTCTCTGACAGTGTTAGTGGGATGGGAAGCAGAGTGTGCATATGTAATGGGCAGCACAGTGGCTTAGCGGTTAGCACCTTTTGCCTTGCAGCACTGGGGGTCACATTCTGGTCAGGACACTATCTGCATGGAGTCTGCCTGTTCCCCATGTGCTTGTGTTGGTTTCCTCACATGCTCCAAAGACATGCTGGTAGGCTGTTTGGCTCCTGTCTAAATTATCAGAATTTCTCATTCTTCTTTGCTCTACTAAAAATGTGTTTTTATCTTTACAGGTAGTGAGGGGAAATCTCCCCAACAGGGTCACAAAAGGCAATAAAAACCTAACAGATGTTATAACCACCCCCTCACCCCCCACCATTCTATCCAAAACTAATATAAAATTTTGGTCAAAGCTAGGAATTAACACACACACACACTTAGAGGATCATTTATAAATCATCCACCCAGCTACACGCTTGGTGTTTTCAGCACTAGATGGAGCAAAGGAGCATTTCCTATGCTTCTCAGCTCCATCTAGTGGCAAAAATGCAGTGCGAATGGCATTCGGTCAGCCTGTTGCTGGGTGAATGATTTATAAATGATCTCCCTCTACCTATTCACTGGTTTTAGAGCGGATTTCCTGTTCAGAGATCTCATACAAAGGACACTCAGTTTTCATTCAACTTTTGCTCTTTACACCATTTTTGCCTTTTCTACTATTATTTGCTTTCACTTGCAGTTTTAGGAGGCTCGGGTCACATGGCTTATGGTGGCCATGTTGTGGTGTTCTGCTGGGGATATTTCATGATCTTGCAGCGTGGACTTTCCAGCCTGTGATAACTCTGAGATTTTTTTTCTCTGACAGATCTACCACATTTACCCCGGATTTGAATACTTTTTCCTGGACACATTTGCACTGAGCAATCAAGTGTTTCCCAATGATGAAAAGTAAGTTTATCTTGTTTTTTTTATATATATATATATATATATAAAAACCCTAAAGGAGAACTATGGGGTAAGTGTTTTTCCCCATAGTTCTCCTAAGGGTCACAGGAGGACACAAACTGGCGTCCTTCCGTGACCCAAAGGCCAATATAAGGCAGCCGCAGCCGGGACGGTTCCCGGCATTACGGTCGAGATCCACCCAGCTGCGTGATTGACAGCTGGCTCTTCCTATCTAGAGTGACAGTCAGCTGTGTGCATTTCCAGTTTGTAACACAGTGGCTCAGCACTTGCCTTGCAGCGCTGTGGGGTCCCTGGTTAGAATCCTGGCCAGGACACTATCTTCATGGAGTTTGCATGTTTTCCCTGAACACCTTTTTCTTTTAGATGTAAGTACACTGCTGAATCCCGACCAGAGGGTTTTGCTCTTCTATGCTGTACCATACGCTGGTGTAACTGCTATCTTGTTTCACCGACATACAATTCTGAGCACTCCTCACTGCACTGGACTGCATACACAATGTTGTTCATCTTGTGTTTAGGTGATGAAGATCATGAACATAGATGAACAACATTGTGTATGCAGTCCAGTGCAGTAGAGTTCTCGGAATTGTATGTTGGTGAAACAAAACAGAACACCAGCGTATGTCACAGCATAAAAGAGCCAAACTCTCTGGTTAGGATTCAGCAGCGTACCTACATCTAATGGAAAAAGGTCACGCATCCAAGTACGCATCCTAGACAGGGAGGGGGATTGGTTTAAAAGAGGTGTGAAAGAGGCCATTTATGTAAAAATGGAGAAGCCAAGCTTGAATAGAGGTGGGGAGTGAGACATCTTTTGTTTACATACAATGCTGTTTTAACACCTCTCTCTGGGCGGGTTAATAAAACCTGCTAGTTCCAATTATGCAAATGCAATCAACGCCTTACCTCCACGAGGTCTATGACCCCATGCTGGTTATGATTAACAGATTATGTTGATTGGAGCAACATTCACAATATTTATTCCCAGATAATTTTTGTACAAGCCATTCTGAATTGAGAAAGCTGGTCGAATGAACAGCGAAACATCTTCAAGAAAAATACAGCAAGTCGTGTTGCCTTGATTTATTTTTTACAGATATACCATGACCTGGATGAATGAGAACCTTCACAGACAGAATATATAATAGACCTGTAGTCCACTTTAATGCATTTAACTAAGCTCCCCATACTAAATCAAATAGGACTTTTAGGTTAAGGCTCTGTACAGGCCAGTGGCGTAGCAATCGCCATAGCGACCCAGACGGCCACTATGGGGCTCGGGAACAGGGTGCTGACACAGCTCAGCAGCGGCTGTAAAGATCACTGACAACCTGTCAGTGATGTGTGTAGCGGCGCGTTTCCCCTCACAGCCGCTTCGGAGCTGTGTCAGTGGCACCCAGCAGCTGCGCCAGAAGAGGCCGGCGTTCGTAGTGAAGGAGGAGGCGGGGCCCGCTTAAAAGCAACCCTGCCTCCTCTTACATCACTGGCCAGCGACCTAAGAGCAGATGGGGCCCGTCGATAGAAGAGGAGGCGGGGCCCGGGGACAGAAGAGTAGGTGGTGCCCGGCGACCATGGAGGCGGACAGCGCTGACAGGTAAGAGGTGTGCAGCCCATGTGAGACCCCGCAGAGCCCACTATAGAGAGTCTATGGTGGGCTCTGCAGTGTCATTCTCAGGTGAGCTGTTTGGTATATCAGGTGGGCTCTGCAAGTGGCATAACTAGCAATCACGGGGGCCCAATACAAAATTTTGCTATGGGGCCCTGTGATTTCTAGTTACGACCCTGGTACAGGCCATTTGAGTTCCTCCACAGCAAACTTATCAAACCATATCTTTATGGAGCTGGCTTTGTACACAGGAGTACAGTCATGGTGAAACAGATAAGGACCTTCCCCGAACTGTTCCCACAAGGTTGGAAGTGCACATTTCCCTAAAATACATTTGTATACTGTAGCATTAACAGAACCCTTCAATGGAAATACCTAATCTCACTCATATGAAGGGGTGTCCATTTAGCATACAGTATGTGTATTTATAAAACCTACATAGATACAAGGTTTTCAAAACATTATCAATAAGATTATGAACCTAAAGCTGATTGTTTTATTGTGTAACTAGCACCGAAATATAACCGACTTCCCTTTTTATTGTTCACTGTCATGCAGTGTTAAAACCATGATCAGCCCACTCATGATCCTGCACGCAGAAGATGACAACGTAGTTCCCGTGTCCATGGGAAAGGAGGTGAGTTTATTAGGACGTTCCTATACATCCTATATCCTGATTTGTGACGCTTGGTCCTAATGAAGTGGATTAAACCTATAAAACGTATTGACCATTACGTAATCTATGTAGATATCAGTGGTCAGAGATTATGTAACGCATCCTGCTATTGCACCAACCATTTTAATTGTGTTGCTGTATATCTTTTGTATTAATAAACTTTCTATTTTAGTATATTGTTCTATGTTGTTTTACTCCTGGATGCTACAATTAAAAGGCATCTTTATTCTATGCAAAATGTATTCGCTATACAAACGTTGGATGATAGCACTCTAAAAAAAATGTTAGCGTCATTATCCACCCATATGTCTTAAAGGAGAACTATGGAGTGAGTGATTATCACTCAACCTCATAGTTCTAGCCGACCTGTGACAATGAGACTGTCACATGTCGTCTCAATAGATCGGGAAGTGAGCGAACACATACCGTCGCTCGCTCACTTCTCGATCATGTCCCTGCGGAGAGCGGTGACTGTCACTCACGGCTCCCTGCAGGGTTCCCCCCCCTCCTCGCTCCGATCCTCCAGAGCTGACTGGCGGAATGGATGAGGAGGGGGCGGGTACAGCTGGCTCTGCCTGTAGATAGGCAGAGCCAGCTGTCATTCAGGCAACTGGGTGGATCTCGACCCGGCTGCGGTGGTCTCAGTATACAGCGTGTACATTTTGCATAGAATAAATGCTCGCGATATAGTAAGCTTTGGGTGACGGGAGGACGCTGGTTTATGTCCCCCCGTGACCCTTAGGAGAACTATGGGGAAAAACACTTATCCCATAGTTCTCATTTAAATCCGGATTCATCTGTAATACTTTGAACTCCTTTTATGTGATGCCTGTGGAATATATTTAGCTGG